CCTTTTTTCGATGAAGTGGTGATCTATACCCTGATACCCAGAGCTGTTTTATAGTGAGTGCACGATCAGAGTGAACGAATTAGACCTCTGGATGCAATCTTTACTTGAACTGTTCATAAAGGGATGAGATTTGCAGAAATATTCCTCCTCTGCTGTCATCTGCTGCTTTGGCTGCAAAGACTTTAAAAATTTGAGGTGGAGGTGAAGATTTGATGATGATGATGCTGTGATATTTGAGGTAATTGGAGATGAAGATGAGCAACATCTGGTCTGAGAATCAGTTCAGATGTGAAACTAACAGAGGAGAAGGTATGAGGTTCATAATTCAGCAGACAAGCTCCTTTCAACAGATTCATTCATCACCTCCTCTTCCTCAGCACTAATTAAATGACTGAGTTCATCTTCCTCCTCCACAGCTCCTTCTTCACCTTTCACCTTTAATTCACCTAAAGTGAATTAACAGCAGACAGTCCCTCAGGTTTATCCTAAATCCCATCAAACAGGAACCAAGCAGGACAGAAACATTACATCACTGCTGCCTTCTGGAAGCTGCGACGTTTGAAATGTGGAGAATCAAAGCAGCTGCGATCAAATCGCCTGAGATGTTGGAGAAGGACTGCGGCTCACCTGGGTTGAAATGCGAGCTGAGGGCGCAGCCGGGGAGGAGCAGCGCGGAGCACAGCGCCGCCAGGAGCAACAGCATCTTCCAGCCGGAGGAAGCAGCAAACACTGCGGGGCTCAGAGGGCAGGAAACCGGGAGATCAGGGCTTCATTTCTGCTGTGGATCCGCAGTGACTCCGCAGGACGTCGCTTCATCTCTCCCCTCCCCTGGATCGGTCCCTCTCTGTTCCTCCTCCCAGGAACTCGCTCAGGTTCTCCTCCTGAAGATGGATCCTGGGTGACAGCAGCTCCTCCAAGCTTCACCTGGAAGTTCTCACACCGACCCGCAGGGGACGATCACGTGACAGCCGGGAAAGCGAAGAAATGATGCAAAAGTTAAAAGAAAAGCGGGATTTGCGCGCGAGCCGCTGGCGCTGTCCGAGGTGCTGACAGACACAGCGCCATCTTGCTCCGTAATGCGCCCGAATGAGATTTTCTGGAGCCTTTCAGTGTCTGCAGGGCGGGGGGGGTCGGGGGGGGTCCGAGCATCCTCAGCTGACTGAAATATTCAGCACACAGAGGAGAAAAGGTGGAGATACTATTTTTAATGCTGCACAGAGATGTGTTCAGGCTCCAACCTGCAGGTTGGAAAAAATCAGCTTCATCAGGAAGTCTGAGTTTCCTCCTGCTTTACTGCAGATGGAGTCTTTTTATTCCATCAATTAATGAGAAATCATGTTTATCAGGATAAAAGACAGACAGTAGGATAAACTGGCTATAATCCTGCTGTCCATACATGCTGGAGAGAACCCCCTCCCCCACTTGGCAACATCCATCCTCTGCCATTCCCTCCCCCTGCCTCCCACTGCCTCCCACTGCCTCCCACTGCCTCCCATCCCTTCAGACTGGAGTCTTGGCATCGAATCGATTCAACTTTTCTTTGTGCATATTACAGGCTTATCATGGTGTCTGATTGTTCTTCAGCAGAGATGTCACACGCTCGTGCTAATCCAGCATTACTCAGCTCCTCCAGTGTCTCTCTGCACTGCTTCCTTTAGCTCGGTGTTATGTAATGCATCATTTATTATTAAAAGACGTGATTTTTCTTAGCCGTGCCAAGAATACCAACAGAGCGACGGCTGAAAGAAACAAACAGCAGCAAGCAGGAGTCCAGATATCTGTCCACAGGGACGATGCTTCTGTTCAAATATTGGCCTAAAGATCTTTGAACTGGTCTCAGCTGGACGTTCTACTTTTAAAACTCCGTAGTTTGGAAAATATCAGCTTTCCAAAATACTCAGATTATTTTTCATAAGAAGGCATCATAGATCAGCTCCACTGCTCTAGAATGAAGACATCTGGTCATCGTTGTAGCAGCAATCCCTTGAGTTCAAGAGAAGTGGCATTGCTGCTCCCTTATCTGCTGTCCATTCAGGGGGGGGATTTACCTTTAGGCAATAATAGGAAGT